GTATTTTGACGTCGGGTTTAGGTTTACCGCTGGCTGTTTGCTTACTGTCACGGACATAACATCGATCAAGACTGTCATGTCGGCACGTAGGCATGCGAAGTTATTTACGGGACACGGCAACGGGCTACTGCACCTAAAGGTACGATCACGCAGCACATATCGGCATCACGGAGCAAAAAAAAAAAGACAGCACATCACGTTCAGGCTGTGCCTTCAGGACATACAGAGGACACATTGCTGGGAATTTCGGAGGGAAAACCTTTAAATCTGCAACAGGGTTACGAAACAGCCAGCAAAAGAAGCATGAATTTATAAAACAAAGCAACTTCCATAACATAACCAGATAGACGGAGGCATGAACGATAACAAGGGCATGACGTTTCTTTCTAAAATAGCACCGCGGAACCGCTTTCCAGCCTTGACCGGACCAGATGAATCGGTGGATAATTTAATTGAAAATGAGCGTATCGCAATTTTCCTCCCCTTATATCCAACGTGCATCAATAAATCAGTCAATTATATGCGTCTTTAAAGACGAGACGAGACAAATACATATAGCAGAGCACAGGGGACAAAAAAGACAAGACATCGCATGCTGCACGCAACGAAACAAAATTGTTGCGCACAAACCTATGACACTATGCGCCAGAGGCGGATCTAGCTAAGAGTTTTTTTTTTGGAGGGGGGGGGGGCAAACCATAACAATTTATCGATTCTTTCCATGCATCGTCCATAGGCGTAATGTTAAAATTATGCCGTTGGGGGGGGGGGCAAATGCCCATTTTGCCCCCCTGGATCCGCCACTGCTATGCGCAGACTAAAAACACACAAAAAAAGAATATACGCGCAAAAGCCTCAGCAGGTGACGGGGCATACATATATGCAACGATTTCTAGTATGCGAGAGCAAAGTACACTTGCTGGCATATCGGACAATGATTTAACCCGGCACCGCCTGGGCTATTTCCGTACCCACGACAGCCTGGGGGGGTCGGATCCGACCCCCCCCCCCCCCTGTTATCTCGAGAACCAATGGTCGTATCGAGCTCCGCGAGGCGGCGTTCGAAAGGTCTCTACGAGACCTTCCCAAAGCACTCTTAAGATTTTAAGATTCAGGTCAACTTTCGGGTCAAGGTCAGGTCAAAGGTCAAATTCAGGGGTTTTGCATGAATCGGCTTACGGACAGCGGAATCGATAGCTGCTGCTCGAAACTCACCAAAAATGACCTCAAAGGCCTAGTGAAGGTACCATGTGCGTATAGGGGTCATACTAGGTACAGGTCAAGGCCAGGTCAGGTCACGAAAGGTCACGGTTTTCACTTTCTGCTACATGGGCGTGCGACACATGTTTTATGGCTTATTTTTCACGCCGAATCCGATGGTAATGGTTATATGTGACCCCAAGTCACTGTGCTGGTGGTAAGTGTGCATTGAAAGCATAAAAAATCGTTTATACTATACATAACTAAACGAGGGGTAAGAAAAAGGTCAATTTTTCAACTTTTTATTTTTGACATAAAAATGCACTTTTCTAGACGAGCTTTGTCCCAGAAATCTAGTGGTGCCATTTGTTTTCACATGCCATGTTCAGAAGTGCCTCTAATTCACGAAAATGCTTATGACGTCACCATGCCCTATGCATGTTGGAGCTATTTTTTACAATTTGGGGGTCAAAAATCAAGATAGAAAGTTGAAATTTGGGGCATGTAATGTTCTAATGGAGCTCTACAACATATATTCCGGTTTTTGAAATTTCCAAAATTTTGGATTTTATTAGCTATTTTCCAAAAAATATAGTTTTTTGAATTTTTAGGGGTGAAAAACGCATTTTATGGAAAATCCGAGATAGCCATTTTGAAGAACTCGTTGAGCTGCGTCTTTTGGTGTCCTTAATTTGCAATTTGCTTCAAACCCTGATTTTTGGCGATTTTTTAAACATTTACCACTTTTTGACTAAAAACGCCATGTAGTTACATCACTAAAATCGATATATCTCAGAAATTTTTGGAAATATTTTCTTAAAAATTGCACAGAAGACGTCAAATTGATGGGGGAGAAGGTATGCCAAGTTTCAAGTAGATAGCGAAAGTGGTTCATGAGTTATTCAAGAAAAACGGAGGGAGGGTCGGATCCGACCCCCCCCAGGCGGTCGCGGGTTAATTTTTGAATTTTGATTAATTAGCAACCGCTAGTCCACCAATTAGCATTTACCGTACCATTTCTCTGGCAACAGCGTAATCCCAATCCCCACTGAGCAGCATGGCACTTATTCCCAACAAAGTTTTCAGCACCAACAATTGGTAGCAGCAGTATTTCCTGACAGGTAATTTTGAAGGCTGTCGAGACTCGAGTGTCGGGTGCTATAAAGACAAATGTCTCGAAACAAGAAATATTATTGTCATGGATTATTCTTGGACAATGCACAAGGTACGGAAAACGTATTTCTCCACAAATGGTCTTTTACTTTCCACGATGAAGAAAAAGCGCATGCAAAAAAAAAATAGGCCTCGAATCACTCACGTAACTTCTCACGTTCAATAAATTAGCTATTGGGCATTGGCCATGGAATAACTCGAGGAAAAGAAACAGTGATTCGTCTGCTAGGAAATCCATACATGGGCCATACAAAAGTACAGAAAAGCGGCATTTATTTTTATTAGAAATAATCAACTATTTTATTTTCACATGCGGTATGATCTGTGACCTATGACAAGATCAAAGGTAGGTTAGGTATGTTGACTTAAGCGTGGGCATGCAAAAAACAAAGAAGGAAGAAAACTGTACAAAAACTACATGCTAAGATAAATCATGCGTGCCGTTCTGATAACAAACCTAAAAACAAACCTAAAAACGGCGTTGGAGCAAATTGATACATGGTTGGTCACAAAAAAAAAACAATTGAATTTATCAAAATCCTTATACAAGCAAAGGCAAATACGCAACGCCCCCATTTCAGTACCCTGTATTTGGCTACGGATGAAGAAGGCTGTTTAACATAAGATCCTCTCATGTTTCTATGCTTAGGTATATTTTTTATCCTTTTACTATTCGAAAGGTGTAAAACCAATTTCGTCCGGCTCCAAAACTTGGACCGTTTCATACCCTTGGTATTAATATGCTCGCTCGAGTTTTTATCCATGTATTTCGCAACTTGGAAGAGTACCACTTAACTGCAAATATTTCACATAATATATACGCACTAATGCGTGTGTTACAAATTGGGACACAATGAGTCCTATTGGTTAAAAATATTGCCAAGAATTTAATGCACCTAAACGAATTAAAACAAGCTTCTCCACGAGGGACGTTGAGCTGAGAGTGGGAAACATGTGAATGCAACAACAAATTTTATCGAACATTCTTTGTCAGCTACACACTGGTGTAAGTTTAAATAAGTCAAAAATGGGTATAGGCTACAGTCCATAATTCACCAATAGGAGATATCGCATGAGCCAGCAGAACTACCTCGGCGTCCCCCGTGACCCTACACGTGACCCGAATGACCCCAATATACCGTATGGTCCCGACAGAGCTCAGTGAACCACCGTCACCCCGCGTGACCTCTACTAACCCCGCGGCCCGCGCCCACGACGGGCACTGAGGGGTGCCTGTGCGGGTGTCCAGAAATGACTGAGAAAACCCACGTTGCTTAAGGTAAAATAGCGCGGAGACTCTAATGTAAGTTTATCATTTCACACCTATTCACACCTATTGAAAAAAAAAACAATCACTTTTGAAGCCTTTCGGAACTGTTTAATCGGTGGCAGTGCATTTTAGGCGGAGCGTTTATGATCACTGGCGGATCCATGAAGGCGGTTTTGGACATGCGGGGGCGTATCCCCCCCCAAAAAAAAACTCTAATTTTAAAAGCTCATCGGATTTCGACTCCTTACGCACTACTGAGCAGGGTGAAACAATCTTTTAGTTAAAGCTGTTAGCTTTTCGTTTTATCTTCGATAAACCGTAAATTTTCGTCGATTTCGGGCGCAGCGGGGAAGGGAGAATTTGCCCCAAATGCTCCTCCCTGGATCCAACAATGTTTGTGACTTTTGCATTTATTTGTTATATTGATACGGTCTGGGAATATCGGAACATCTAAACATCATCATTTAAAACATCTCGATATTTCCGTCCATTTACACTTGAGATCTATGCCAGTTTCATTGATTGATTTGAATTTCACGACGTGGTAGCAAATGCAGAGTTGAAAAAAGACGGTCATCTCCAAACGTCTTAACTGAATTGATTCCCCATGAAAGTGTTGTGTGTCATTTGTTTCGTTGTCTCATGGCCCAAGCTCACAACACCCATGACTTCTGTTACGATCCTTTCAATTGATATTGGAAGATTACAAGAACCGATTGATAGATCGCGGAGATTAATGACGTGTAACAGCCTAAGTGAATAAATCAAGGGTTCGGCGTGGGCGTCTGTCGGTTGTCGTTTGACTTGAAAAGGGACGAATTATCGGACATACGACGCCTCAAGAATATAAAATACTGTATGCAGCTTGTTATAAATATGTTTACGGTTTTGATGAAGTATTTACAGATGTCAGTGTTTCCTGCGAGGAACTAACCGTGAAGCGGGATCGTTTTAATTAAGTGTTACAGAAATTATGGAAACTACTTTTTTAGAGCTTCCAAAGCGAAGCGGCATCAGGCTTCTGTGGTCATGACAAGAGTGACGTGGATAATTCATAGTAAAATGAAGAAATGAAAATGAATCAGAATAGTGAAAATCCGTCTTTTGAATGTTTGAATGTAGATGAAGCGCAATGCTTTTAAAATCAAACTCTTCAAACGTTCGTAGCATTTGATGTTTTTCTGCATAACAATGAGTGAGTCTGCGGCACAGCTGGAATCACTTGCCAGCCGCTCGGCCGAGCCGTGCTATTTTCGACACCACTCGAGCTCGGCACATAGACATCTCCGATTTCAACACTATCACCATTACCGCAATTTGCCCGGAGCGGTGGCCGCTGGCGGCATCGGGTACTCACCGGAGTACAAAATCCATAGTGTCACCGAGCACCGGCACCGACGCCCGGCACACAAACGCACAGCGACCTGAGCCGACGGTCAACTCGCCGAGGGCGACCGGCCCACTGGCGGCCGCTAGTGCGCCAGCCTCCCGCCAGAGGCGCCACCGGCGCCGATCGATCTCGCCGGCCCGGCCAGCTGGAAAACAAGCCAGACGTAAGCGAAACGAACCCCAGCACACCGGACTCGCACACGCGGCCAGATTCAATTGCCGCCAATGGCCCTTGAGTGGGTGGTGACTGACAGCGAGAGAGACGTGACAGCCCGCTCTCTGGCGGCTGTCCGCTGCCCGGTGCCGGCCCGTTTCCGGGTAGTCTCTGCTCGGTGCTCTCGCCGGCCACCGAACGGGTCACAAGTGTCGTCGGTGGCCGCCCAGGCGGCTGTTGCACCCAAGACGGGTGGCGGGGGCGTCGCTCGACACCCCGGTGTGTCACGCGGCACCCTGTTGAGTCCCTGAGTGACCCCGCCGCGATGGGAGGGACGGTCCCAGTGATTAGATTGGCGGCGCGGCTCAGTTCGTTACGACGCTATGGGACCGACGCGGTGGTGAGAACGTAGTAGACTGGGAATGAGCCGCGGAGCTGGACATTCGGACGTGTCGTTCTGGCAAACAGACGTGAGACCGGATCGGAGATGCATGCGAACAGATTCGTTATTTTACCAAGCAATCAACTATGCAAAAGCGACACCTCTTGGACCTCACTCAAAAGAAATGCGCGGGTTCATGAGCGGTACGCATCTATTTCAATTTTTAGTTCATGTAAAGGAGTGGCTAGATGCCCGCCACGCCTGATATCTCACTACGCAATAGACTCGTCTGGTATTTCGTGGTCATCCTTTGTCATTGGATCAATAATAACACCTCTAATGACTCTCCAGTCTCCACCGCACACCTCCTAGTACTTGTTGAATGCCCGTCTATGGAATGATTGTGTTTGTACTCGTTGTTCATGAGACATTACGAGCATTGTCTGGAGGAGCCACCATCACACCTTTGAGGCTGACGGATGCTCAGACGCAATGGGGTGAAATATCTTTTGTGTGTCTTTTGTCTTTTGAAATAGCATATCGTAATGTGCAGAAGATATTCAATGACGAAAGGAAGAAACCCTATTCAGTTTAGTGTTATATTTCACGATGAATGCATTGCACAAATACAACTAAACAACAATGCCATGCCACCACGATGTTGTAGTACGATGAATTGTCTGATGAACGCATACGTTTCTCGCAGTCATTCATTCATGACATCATGCACAATCACTCTCTCAGTGTATTTTGGCTCAGAATCATTCACAATGTCGCCGAGGTATCCTATGACTGATCCTGCTCGGCTCGACCCCGGACATCCTTCACACCCATCCAGAGGCCGGTTGGGAGGTCGGCGACCGCACTGGCAGAACGGCCGGGCGGCGATGTCGACTCGGCTCGTCAGCGGCACGTAGGGAGCGGTCCGCCGACGGCTCACGACTCGCCGCTGAACGCCGCAAGAATCGCCGGCACTGAAACGAACGGGCCATCGGTTAGCACACCGGCAGTGATTGGTCAGTCGGCAGCGCTTGCGAGATAGCAGTGTGGCTAGCGAAAAGGGGTTTTATTTGTTTAACACATAGATAACATGAACTACCTGGATTGGACACTCGTTTTTGGCGCCAAAAATAAGAGGCCACTTTGGCCTCTTATTTTTAAAGACGGCCTGTAACACTTTTGAGAGGCTGATATCTCAGCAACCACTGGGCCGATTAGCCTGCGGTCTTTTTTGTTCGGTAGCCCCATCCCTTCTGCCCCATAATTGACTTCTCATGATGCGTCTAGGTGACTGCCGTAGCACGTGCCACGTGAAAAGTCAGGGGTGTTCACTGTTCAGGGTATTTTGCATAAGTAGCGCTTTTGCGAGGCTTATATCTCAGCAACCACTTGACCGATGTACATGCGGTAATTTTTGTAGGGTAGCTTCATTCATTTTACCAAGTATTGGACTGTTCCCGATGCATGTGGGTGACCCCTTATGCACGTGCCACGTGCAATACGAAGAAGTGTCAGTTTTGTAACAATTGCAATATCTCGGTAACTACTCGGCCGATTGCGCTGAAACTTGGCATACAAATACGCACCCACCGGCAATGTATATCCATGTGCCAGAAATGGGGTGCTGCTGCACGTGCGCACGTGCAGGGCAGGGGTCGTTTCCAGATCTCGAGAACGGCTGGACCGATGGCGCTCAAATTTGGTACACGGCTAGGGACCAGTTAGAAGGGTGCCGTGCACAAGTCAGTTGGGACCCATATTGCACGTGCGCACGTGCAGGGTGCCGCTTCCAGATCTCGAGAACGGCTGGACCGATGGCGCTCAAATTTGGTACACGGTTAGGGACCAGTTAGAAGGGTGCCGTGCACAAGGCAGTTGGGACCCATATTGCACGTGCGCACGTGCAGGGTGCCGCTTCCAGATCTCGAGAACGGCTGGACCGATGGCGCTCAAATTTGGTACACGATTAGGGACCAGTTAGAAGGGTGCCGTGCACAAGTCAGTTGGGACCCATATTGCACGTGCGCACGTGCAGGGTGCCGCTTCCAGATCTCGAGAACGGCTGGACCGATGGCGCTCAAATTTGGTACACGGTTAGGGACCAGTTAGAAGGGTGCCGTGCACAAGGCAGTTGGGACCCATATTGCACGTGCGCACGTGCAGGGTGCCGCTTCCAGATCTCGAGAACGGCTGGACCGATGGCGCTCAAATTTGGTACACGGTTAGGGACCAGTTAGTAGGGTGCCGTGCACAAGGCAGTTGGGACCCATATTGCACGTGCGCACGTGCAAGGTGTCGCTTCCACATCTCAAGAACGGCTGGGCCGATTGCACTCATATTTGGCACATCGCTATAGACCGGTTAGTAGGGTGCCGTGCACCGAGAAAGTTGTGGCTCTGCGCGTGCTCACGCGCGCACGTGCACACCCCTCCGTCATATCTCGGGAACGGACTGACCGACTGCAATGAAATTTGGTGTGTGGCTGGATGCTGACCGTGTATGAGTTTTTCTCAGTCGACGAAGGTGAGGTAATGCACGTTCGCACGTGCACATCCCATAGTTCCAGCTAAAAATGGGACACGCCGCCTTCAATAAAAAGCTGGTGTGCGATTGAAGGATAACAAAGTGTCGTGACTGTGTGCCTCAGAAGGGTGTGAATATGCACGTGCCACGTGCACACCTCATAATAACGGCTTAATAACGAGCAGGCCCGATATTGATCGAAGTTGGCTTACGATTAGGGGATAAACCCCCTGAGGTTTTTTCGAAGTGCACGCTAAACGGCTTGTCGTAGCGGGCTGAAATTTTCAATACCCTCTGGGGCAACCTTTGCGCATCTTTTGCCGAAAAAAATTGATCAACCGAAATTGATCAAAAATTGGGAGCAACTACTGGGCCAGTGTACGTCAGTTCATGGAGGGCGAAACGGTCATCCGCGTCAGCAGTCTTATCTGGTGGTCTGGAGTAAAGGTCTCCGAACTACCGACCAGAATGGCACTTTCGCAGAAGACCAGAGCCCAAGGTGACTCAGCAGCCGTACTCAAGCTGAGAGAAGCTGTCGAAGAATCAGAAGACGCTGAACAAGACCAGCCGTCTGATTCAGAAAAGGCAGCACTGGGGCATATCGCCGGATACCTGGCTCGGTCAGCAACAAAAAACGGGCAGTGCAAGGAGTGCTCCGACGTTCTGGTCTCAAGAGAGCATGGCAGCATACCCATTCAAGTGAACAATGAGGACCAGGAGGACAGCATCGTCCAGTCTTTCACGAAGATGTTGGATCGAGGGCGACTCATCGTGCCGTCCTCGCTCGCCATAGAAACCACGATGCTTATCCTTAGAATCTGGAAAGAACTCGTGCGAAAAGAGGCATCAAAAAGACTTCTTTTTGAATGCTTTAGTCCCAGAGAGGCATTTGTCGACGTGGTAAAAGCAGTCACGACACGAAGCTCCATCGTCAGAGATACAAGCTGCCCCAAGGGGCATGGATTCGCCCAAAGCTTGGAACGTATGTCAAGGGCCTTGTTTAACCTGTTTGCAGGCAACATGGTGAGGGACATCAACAGCGCGATCCATGCCAAACGTGGAAACTGTGCAGCGAAGAAAGCAACAGACGATAAGAGGCGTAAGCTATCCGGCATCAAGAAGAGCTAGAGCCTAGAGGTACTAGCGCACACACGAAGAGGCGTGTGCGATCTCGCACATGTTGTCGAGAACTCAACTGAACTGTGGTAGTGCTTTCGTGCCTCGCCCTTTACCTATCCGGGCTAACTCTGGAGATAGCCTACGGACTCCCATGGACTGTGGAAACTGTCATACGGCGCCGTCCCAGTCTGGCCGACCGGGCGTACCGTAGTCCCACATGCGTGAGCGTGAGGAGTGTGGTGACCCACAATTGTGTTAAGTGCTCTTATCTTATGCCGTTGTTTTTTATACATAGGCTTAGTTTGTACAAGACGCTGGCGAAGAGGTTGGCATCGTGGGACTCTCCTCGGTTGGATGGGCATTCTTACTTTTCCTCGGGTTTGGGGTGGTCATCTAAAAAACTCTTGCCTGTTTTGGTCAAGCAGGCCAAAACGACTTTTATTTATGTGTTGTGCACCGTGCTCATACTGCGATGAAATGTGCTTTTCAAAACATGTATGTGGAAACCAGTTATATTTGGTGATTTTCGAAGAAATATAAATAAGGTGTGCATGTGCGCACGTGCATTACTTTACCTTCGTCGACTGAGAAAAATTCATACACGGTCAGCATCATGGTCACACAACAAAAGCAACAAACAGCCACACACCAAATTTCATTGCAATCGGTCAGTCCGTTCCCGAGATATGACGGAGGGGTGTGCACGTGCGCGCGTGAGCACGCGCAGAGCCACAACTTTCTCGGTGCACGGCACCCTACTAACCGGTCTATAGCGATGTGCCAAATATGAGTGCAATCGGTCCAGCCGTTCTCGAGATCTGGAAGCGGCACCCTGCACGTGCGCACGTGCAATATGGGTCCCAACTGCCTTGTGCACGGCACCCTTCTAACTGGTCCCTAACCGTGTACCAAATTTGAGCGCCATCGGTCAAGCCGTTCTCGAGATCTGGAAGCGGCACCCTGCACGT